CATGAGGAGTTTTGCATTGAATATTTCAAATTGTTGTCACTTATTTTACTATCACTGCTTGCTTTTAATAAAAGTACCTCTTTTTGTTTTAGACACCCTGCATGCAGACGGCAGAGAGAGACAGTCTTCTTCGTGCTCCTGTAGTTATTTATACCACCCATATTATTGTTACAAAGCAGAACCTTTCCTATAATATCCCACTTTTTTAATTTCAAAAAAAGATGAACTACATATGGAATAAAAACAAACAAAAACTACACCTTCTCCACGTTGATGGCGTCCCGTGCAGAGGTCTCCACATAGCGCATCCCGTAGGCCCCCGCCAGCTTCTCCGCCTCCTGCTGGGTCACCTGACGCTGGGCTTCCAGGTCACACTTGTGGCCGACCAGCAGGAAGATGATGCTGTGCGGCTGGACGTGGCTCTGCGCCTCCTCCAGCCAGTTGTGGACGTTTTGAAAGGAGCGGCGGTTTGTGATGTCAAAGAGCAAGAGGCCACCCACTGAGTTGCGGTAGTAGGCTCTGGTGATTGACCTGCACAGAAAGAGGTGTGCAGGAATGCAGACGTGAATAACTGGCAGAAGACCACACCCACAGTGAAAAAAAACGGTCCCCTACAAATGAACAAGTTGCATCTGTTTGAGTAGTTTTTGCTAAAAAAAAAAAACTACCGTTATACAATTTGTACCGATTTTTTGTTCTTTTCTTCTTTTGCAGATGAATACAGGTGAACCTCTGTCCGTCCTTACTTCTGACACATTTGGTCACTGTCATGCTGGAAGACCCATCCATGACCCATCTTTGGTGTTTTGGCTGAGAGAAGGAGGTTTTCATCCAAGATTCTGGTCTTTAAATCAGTGACGTTGTCCTGTACCCTTAGCAGAAAAATGTTTCCACCTCTTTGCTTGATAGTGGGGATGGTATTCTTTGAATCATGCTCAACATCTCTCTTCCCCCAAACACGACAGGTAAAGTTGATGCCAAAGACCACTTGATCACATCACTTTCTCCTAAGCTTTCCCTCAATCATTTGTTCACCGGCAAACTTAACACGAGCCTATAAATGTGGCGAGGCAAAAGGTCAGCCCATCATGACGCAGTTCGGCGACATGCAAACCAACTATATAACATTCATCTAATGTGTTTTTTCTGGATTTTGTATTGATATTCTGTGTCTCGACATTAAAAACTACATTAAAAATTAGAGACTATTCATTTCTTTGTAAGTGAAAAAACACAAATTCAGAAGGGGATCAACTAATTATTTCCCCTATTTTTTTTTTAAATGTTTTCTTTTAAAAATACACTCTGATTTCCATGCTTACACAATATCAGCATGAATCAAAAAGCTGGAAGCTGGGAACGTAGGCCATACTGTTATATACAACTCTTTCCAGCTTCTTCAACACGTGATTAGCATCAGGTTGAAAAACTACTTTTTAATATTTTATTTGTATTTAGTGAACTGTTCTCACTTGGCTGCAAGTTTAAAAATATTATATTATTTAATTTACATATTTAAAAGTGAACCCTTTAAAAAAAACATAGTCATGACTTCATGACTAGTTTTTTTTCCCATGATTGCCAAATCATTAAAAATGTGAATTCTGAACCCAGTAAAGAATTAGACTGGAGATATTCTGGGTTTTTTGGTTTCTTTGTTTTTTTTAATTTAATTATTATTTTTCTTCCAAACATGCAGAGCTACCCGCTGTGGCGACCACTTTTTGAATAAGGGATCTGCCAAAAGTAGATTCTTTTTATTTCGAGACCAGCAAGAGACCCAAACCAGCCTCAGGGAAACACAAGCTGGTGTACTGCCTGTGCCAGTCCTGAGCTGGATTAATGGGAGTGTTGCATCAGGAGGGGCAACCGGCATAAAATTTGTGCCAAATAAAACATGCGGATCCATCTGCTATGGCAACCCCTTTGGGAAATAAAGGAGCAGCTGAAAGTCCGTCCGTCCCCCCTCCACTGTGATCCAATCCAACCAAAAGAGCAAACTTTGTGGCTTCCCTATCCTCTCTCTCTTATTAAGATATTGAAATGATCACAAATATAAACTTTAATTTTCAAATGAGGTTAAACAGCTTAATTACCCAGCTGGTTGAGATAGTTTTCACCTAACAAACTTTTAGTTTAGTGTTAACAGCAGATGGACAGAGAACTCATGCATTAATGTTAATGAAGGAAAATGTCAAAACATGTCATCTTAACGTGGCCTAACTGAGCTTTAATGCCCATCTGAGGGAAGCATGTGTAGTGTGTGCTTTTGAAGTATGAGGAGAGTCTTGTTTTTGTGGACACATGAGAAAGAAATCAGGAGTCTGTCTTTACCTGAACCTCTCCTGTCCTGCCGTGTCCCAGATCTGAAGTTTGATTCTTTTCCCCGGCTCGATCTCCACAAGACGGGAGAAGAAGTCCACCCCGACGGTCGGGTCTGACACCTGTGCGAAGCGGCCCTCAGTGAACCTCCGGATCAGGCATGACTTGCCGACCGTGGAGTCTCCGATGACTATCAGACGAAACTGGTAAAGCCATATAGTCTCCATTTCTCATTGAAATAAGTTCTGTAAGACAAAAAAAAAACCCCACTCACTTAGTCAGGGTCACCCACAGTACGCCCAATACTGAGACTAAAACGAGACTCTTAAAGAAATGAAATGAGCATCCTCTCCTTCACAAAACCAAATATTTTGCATCATCTAATGGAAGGATTTTTGTAAATATAAAATCTAAAACATCAATTAAAATCCTGCTGTTCATGTCTTCAAATTTGGATCCTTCAACGGGGATGGAAACAGCTGTAGATTAAACATCAGACTTTAAAGCTTCCACAAACCCCTCCTTCTTTTTCAGAAAAAGAAGATCTGCTTAAATGAGTTTAAACAGATCAAACATTACATTTAATCCAGAGATTTTGCTGACTAGAAGGATATTTTTTGGGATTATGGCTTTCCCCTAAACATGGGAATAATAGGCTCATAGCGTCTCAGCAGTGGCCATGTGATTTACAGATGGGTGATCTAATTTGAAAGAGGGAGGGGGAGGCCACTCCTCTCCAACTCAATAAACAGTGGCGTAGTCAGCCCCCATGTGGATAGCAGAGTGGTTGTTATAGAGCAATAACACACAATGAGGCCTTGAATAAAGCCAGAATTCAGGTTTAATATAGTAGCTTAAAAATCATCATAGATAGGAAGAAGGCGCCCTGTGCTACTAATGATGCAACAAACTATATGGTTCTTTATTTATATATATATATTTGTTTTAATCACAAGGCCCAACCCTCTTAGCTCAATGAGCATTCTCTACTTAGTTAATTATTTTTCTGGACAACAATTAAATTAAACAACTAATAAAGTGTGACCTACCTCAAGTTCAGAGCTCAGTACTTGAAAAAAAGAAACCCCATATTGATGATTGTGTTTCCAAAAAAGAAGAAAAAAATGATCCCTAGTCTAGCACTGGTTCTGTTGTTGCTTACAGAAAACCCCAGGCGGTAACATACAGAGCATTAGCAGGGCCTCCTGTGCAGCATCGCTTTGTGAGCCGGTTTAAAGGCTGAAAACGGGGTGAGCGGTGTGTGGCCCGACAGGTGATCCGATCTGCTGGCTCATTACAGCGGGGCTGTTGATATTTCCGCGATGATCCGCTGATGAAATGGCAGCAGAACACAGCAGCAGCATCGCACTCACGTCTCTTCCTCGCCCTCATCAGTACCATTACCGTAATGGCGCGCACAGCAGCGCAGCAGCGGATTCCCGGGGCGATGCATTCACGTGCTATACGGGAAAAGAACGGAAAATAAGAAACGAACACACATGAGATTATTTCATATCAGTACTTAGTACTTACAAAAATACATTTATAAATATTTTTGTTCCCTAGACCTCCAGGGTGACAGCGAATGATCGGCCAGTGGAAAACAACTAAACTTATTCTATTTGCTCTAGTATTATAAGTACAATATTTGCTGGAGTATTTTCATTTTAACCTACTATGTACTTCTATAAAGAAAATGTATTTTATTTTGTTAAACTGCATTTCAGTACACTAAAAATAAGTATATGCAGTATAACCACTATTACTCTTCTGCACATGTCCAAAAATTGCCTCTTTAACTTTGTCTCCTCTTCTCTCCAGAGCACACCTCCACCTCTCCAGCGTCGCTTCCACCTTCTTGCTACTCTCACTACAGATTACAATGTTGTCTGCAAAACATCATAGTCCACCCCCACCCTGAACCCATCTGACCTTCCCACCAGTCCACCACCACTCTCCTCATACATGACCTGCACCACCCTCACATACCTCTGTTATCCCTGACTACCACATTCCAACTCCTTCTGTACTTCTCATATCAACACTCACAAAACAAAAATGGCACCTGCAGTGCTCTTTCTCAGCATGGAGCACTGATCGTTCTTAGGTAAAGACTAAAGCGCATTTGCACGTTTTATTTGATCTTATTTATTGATATTGAAAACTCCATTCAGTTCAGAAGTAAAGTCCAACACATTAGCCTGAAATCAAGTTTGGATTCTTTGATTTGCATTTGGTTTTCGGGTCCATTACAATAACGGTGCTGTCTGACTTTAGCCATGATGGACACTGATAACACATATCCGTGCAATCACGATGTAGGGCTACAGAAATGATTTAGTCATGAAAACATTTATTGCTGCTTTTTAAATAGTAAAACAATCTAATATTTGCTAACTTCAGCTTAAATCGATCATTTTTTTTTCTAATTGAAAACATCCAAAGACGTCATCGATCCATTTTACACAACTTTCTGACATTTAAATGACAGATATTAATTTGTTATTTGCAGAGTTGCTTTCTTCGAATATTACAAGACATCAGATGGAATTTAAAATGAAGCTTATGTTTACGAGGAGTGTGTGAACGCACCATGGGTTTTCTGCTGAAGTTTGCAGTTTGCTCTGAAGTAAGCGAACTCACGCTGTCCTTATTTTATTTAGACTGCTGGACTCCGGTGATTGCAGACGAATGCGACCGCTTCTCGACGATAGAAGATCACGTGATAATATTTCGGTTCGCAGCAGGACGGAAGGAAATGTCTTTACTGTAGCTGCTCTGTGGTTTTGATGTGTCTCAGCATCCTTCGGAAAGTTTTCATAATATCACCGAGCCTGCAGCCATGCAGCAGGAGCTTCTTTTCAAAGTCCTGGTCATCGGAGACTTAGGAGTGGGGAAGACGTCCATAATCAAGCGGTATGTGCATCAGATCTTCTCCCAGCACTACCGAGCCACCATTGGGGTGGACTTCGCCCTGAAGGTGTTGCAGTGGGACAGTAACACTGTGATCCGGCTACAGCTGTGGGATATTGCAGGTCTGTCAAACTTTAACGACCCACTGGTTTAAGGCTTATATATATCAGGTGATACAACGGTGTTTGTGTGTGTGTGTGTGTGTGTGTGTTTTGGGGTTTTTGGGAACAAGAACCATTTGTTTCACCATCAGCAGCCGTGAAAGCTGCTTCTGGAAGGAAAGGCGCTTTGCAAATTCGCTTGAGAGGATATTTAGAGGAGAGTTAGAACATAAATATCTTCATCTTAATCTAACTCAGGTCTTTTTGTAGTGTCATAAATAAGAGGATAACACTTTTTTATTTAAGAAGTGAAAGGCAGAAGAAAAACAAAGAAAAGAAAAGCAGATTTTCCACCCAGTGAGTGTGTGTTTCTGTGTGTGT